GACGACGCCGCCGCCCCCGTCGCCGCCCCCGCCGACTACGACGACGACTACAACGACTACGACAATGAAGACGACGACCATGACCACGCCGCCGCCCCCACCGCCGCCCCCGCCGCCGCCGCCGAGGGGCGACGACGGCGACCATGACGACAACGACGACTACAACGACGACGATGACGACGACGACCACGACGACGCCGCCGCCGCCCCCGCCGCCGCCGAAGACAATGACGATGACGACGACGACTACGACGACGACGATGACGAGGCCGCTGCCCCCGCCGCCGCCGAACACGACGACGACGATGACGAAGACGACGACGACGTCGACAATGACGACGACGACGACCATGACGAGGCTGCCGCCCCCGCCGCCGCCAAAGACGACGACTACGACGACGACCATGACGACGCCGCCCCCGCCGCCGCCGAAGACGATGACGTCGACGACGGCGACGACGAGGACGACGACAAAGACGACGACGACGACAAAGACGACGACTACAACGACGACTCCGTCGACGACGACAACGACGCCGACGACGACGGCGAACATGAAGAGGCCGCCGCTTCCGCCGCCGCCGAAGACGACGACGACGACAACGACTACAACGACGACGACGTCGTCGTCGACGACAACGACGACCACGACGAGGCCGCCACAAACGCCGCCGCCGCCGAAGACGACGACGAGGACGACGACAACGACGACTACATCGACGACGACGACGACGTCGACGACGACGACGACCATGATGAGGCCGCCGCCCCCGCCGCCGCCGCAGCCGCCGCCGCCGCCGACGACGGCGACGTCGGCGGCGGCGGGGGCGGCGGCGGCGGCGGCCGTGGCGACGACGACGACCCGCAGGCGGCCGCTCCGTCTACGGCGGTGCCGATGGGGCCCGGCGGGGGCGCCCCAGAGCCAGGCGGGCGCCCCGCCCGGCCACCATCGCGCCCGAGCGCGCGCGGGAGCCGTCGGCGCGCACAGGGGCGGTCAGAGCCGTGGTTGATGTCAACAGCGCTGGGGATGTTTTTTTTTTGCTCGTTTTCAAGTGTTCGGCGTCGGCAGACCAGGGAGACAAAAACCGGCAGCACAAGCAAGAGACAAGCGGCAGCACGAAACGGAACTGACCCGACCGCGGCGCGAACGAGAAACGGAACAAACACGTCGATCTCGAAAACAAAACGCCACCCGGCGCTTTTCCACATCATCCGAGGTCGGAACAGCTTTGGCGGCGCCCGCGAGGGGGTGTCGCGAGAGGGGTGGCATTCAAAGAAGGCGGAGGGGCTTCTTAGAAGGTAGGGGCCTTCGTGGAAGGGCCTGGGAGTCCGGCTTCTAAGAAGCCCCCCTTGCATTTCTAGAAGCTGCGCCGTCCTCTTAGAAGCCCATCCCCCTTCGCGCCACCCCCGTGTGGGTGCCGCCGAAAGCAAGAAGTCATGATGATGATGATGATGATGATGATGATGATGATGATGATGATGCTGATGATTGATGATGATGGTTGTGGTGGTAGTGATCTGATGATGATACTGATGATGATGCTGATGATGGTGATGATTATGATGATGCTGATTATGATGTTGATGAAGACGAGGACGAGGGCGATGATGATGATTATGATGATGATGCCGATGGTGATGATGATGCTGCTGCTGCTGGCTGCTGCTGCTGATGGTGATGATGATGATGATCATGAGGAGGATGAGGATGAGGATGAGGATGAGGATGATGATGATGATGATGATGATGATGATGATGATGATGATGATGATGATGATGATCATGATGATGACGATGATGATGATGCTGATGATGTTGCTGCTGCTGCTGCTGCTGCTGATGATGATGATGATGATGATGATGATGATGATGATGATGATGATGATGATGATGATGATGATGATGATGATGATGCGTTGCAGGATATCGTGGATGTCTGCGTGCCACTCGTGGACTCCAGAAGCGAAGGCCGCCAGACGCTCCATAGATCCTGGAACTTATCCAGAGCCAAGTGCATCATGCCATCAATCATTCTCGTTATAGGTAGGCCCGCTCACGATCCGACTGGGGCCGAGCTGGTTCCCAGAACTCGATTTTGTGATCTCGATCGGCTCCGATCTCCGGCGCGAACGGGTTCTCTCTCTCCGGCCTGCGATGGCCACGCCTGGTCCGCGATGTCCCAGACGGTCTGATGTGCCGGGTGCGACTTCGCGCCGATCCTTGGCCACGCGCAGGGGGAGGTAGGGGGGAATGGGGCAGACTTCTTAGAAGCACCCCTGCTTCTTAGAAGGCGATCGCAAACATGGATCAAGGGGGTGTGGATTAGCGACGGGTCCCGTTTCCATGGGATATCGCGGATATCCGCCGCCGAACAAGCGGCATTGGCCGCATTTTTGGGAGGGCACTTCTCGCGATCCATGGGTGCGGCGACCGCGCTCCACATGCATGGATCGCTAATCCATGTTTGCGCGCCTCCGAGCTTCTTTAGAAGGTACGTGCTTTGTCTGTGGATGTAAGGCTGGCGCCTTCTAGGAAGCAGCCTCCTTCTGAAGCCTTCCCCCCTTCCCCTACCCCCCTGCGTGTGCCGCCAAGATTCATTCGGGCGCGGCGCGACCCGTTGCCGATCCGATCCGATGTCGCGATTCGAGCCAGCTCGGGCCTGCAAGCGTCGGACGGGGCTGGGACGAGGACAAATCCGTTTCAGGGCGTTCCAGAGCGCTCTCAGAGCGTTCCAGGGCGCTCTGAGAAGGCCGCGGCGCCCGAGACATCCTCCAGAGTCGCCAGATCTCAGAGATTCTCAATTTTACCCCCACCTTGCACTGCACCACATGGCGTGCACAACGTAGTGCAGTAGACGGGCAGTGGCGAAAAGTTGGCGGGGTGCGGAGCCGATGAGGATGCTTTTTGTTGCAGGTCCCTGACGGGGGGCGACATCCCGCCAGGGCACCACGGACACGGGCACCGCACCTCACCCGATTTATCCTGGTCCAGGCTTCGTCTTACAGCTCGGGCCGGCCAGTGTTAAGTCGGGCCTGTCCCTCTACGGGAGGAGTATTCAAGGATAGTCAAAAGTAGTCTGGGGACGATTCCGTGGAGTTTTTTAAAACACTCCTGGGGTATTTTTTGGCATTTTCTTTTTTTTGTCCAAGATGGGCCTGTAGGGGGACATGCCCGACCTGATTTTAGCTCCTGTGGCACCTCATCCGATTTTGTCCTCGTCCTGGCTTCGTCTTACAGTCGGCCCGGATTAGTAGGTCGACCCTGTCAGCTCAAGGGTACCCTTGAGTCCCGTGCCTCGCGACACGTGCCCTTTTACACTGCAATGGCGATGTGGCCCTCGGAGGGGTCCTGTGTCCTCTCGCGTGTCCTCTCCAATCAAGGCCGACCGTACAGCTTGGGCCGGCCAGAGCAGGGCTCGTCTCGACTCCTCCGATTCGATCCGATTCGATTTCGACGGCTTCCGATTCCGATTCGATTCGATCTGGGATTCCGATTTGAGTTCCGATCTCTTACTAGAGGCATACTAGCCTGCCGATTTCTGTCGATCCGACTCTTCCCGACTCAGCTGCCGATTTCCGACGATCCGATTCATGTCGATCGCCGATCCGACTTGTCGATCCGATCCTGGGCTCTCCTGCCAGAGGGCGGCGCGAGGGGTGTCCAGCGGCTCCTCGGGGCTTGCCGTGGGTGCCCCGCGCAGCGGTGGGGCCCGACGGGAAGGGCCTGCCGCCCTGTTCTCCCCCGTGGTTTCCCCTGTCGGCATGCCTGCTGCTGGTCTCGCCGCCGCTGGTCTCGGCCCCGCCGCCGGGCCCCTTCCTCGACACACGGGCGCCTCCCGGCGCCGGGAGGCGCCGGGAAAAGCAGCCACGTGAGCGGATTCTCAACACCTCCCCCTGTGCTATCCCCCCCTTCTCGCACGGGCCCGACACAGGGGAACGAAGAAGGTCATCGACATAGAAACTCGGAGGTCCGCGCGGAGTTCGCGGATCGGCGCTGGACCCCCTCCCTGGCGCGCGGGGCGCGCCAGGGGCGGCGCCAGGGGCGCCGCCGGGGGAGTACAGCGCAGATACGAGAAATCCGCGCGGACCTCCGAGTTTTTATATTCATGCCATTCTTCGTTCCCCTAGCCCATTCTGGCCAGCAGGACGGGAGGGGTAGATTCGAGGTGCTGGATTCGACAAGTAAGAAACATCAATTTGACGACGAATGAGGACAATAATACTTAGACGGTTAATAGCAATACTGCTAGTAATCATCGCACAGATGCAACGTCATACAAGCACTAGACATAAGAATACCCATACGGATGCTACTATTAGTAGAACCAATGGTGGAAATGAAAACACTCATATTTTTAAGTTTACGAATAGTCTTGAAGTTACGAATGATACTAGGGATGATGGCAATCATACTACGACTGATAATGCTAGCAACCATAATTCGAATAAAATAAATGATACAACCGTATCAATAACAACAATAATTATAACATCAATACTAGTAGTATGACTAATAGTAATAAAGTTCATAGGGGTATCAGAAATACCAATACTATTTGTAATCTTGTTAGCACTTGCAATGGTAACGCTAACACGAATGATAACAGTAAGAAGAAGATGATGAGGAGGAACGGGAGGAGGAGGAGGAGGTCGTGGATGAGGGGGATGCGGAGGGGGAGGAGAAGGAAGAGGAAAAGGAGGAGGAAGAGGAAGAGGATGACGAGCGTGATCTTGTTTTTCATGTGTGGGCAGCATGCAAGAAGGCGGAATTGGAGGATGAAGGAGGAGCAGAGGGGGGGGGGAGGGGGGGAAGGAGGAAGAGGGCGATCTTGTTTTCCATGTCTGAGCAATATGCAAGGAGGCTGCACTGGAGGAGAAGGTGGGATGATGAGGAGGAGGATGAGGGGCAGGATGGGTGGAGGGAGGGAGCGACGCAGGGAGGGAGGGAGGGAGGGTGACAGCGGCAGCACCAGCATCAACAGAAGTGACGATACCCGGCCGCCCAAGCCATTTTTCGGAGGGGCTCGAGCCCCGGGCGACCTCCAGAGCGCCCCGCTGCAGGCGTAAGCGGCATGCGCGAGGAGACCCGTGGGGGCGCGAGCTGCCTCCTCCTCGAAGGAGATGGCAGGTGGTGCAGGGGGGAGAGAGACATGGAGAGGAGCTCGGCGGTGACGCCGTTGCTGCAGATGGCGATGCCGCTGCTGGTGCTGCTGATGCTGAGGATGGTGGTGAAGGTGAGGATCGGGGTGATGATAACGAGCAGGAGAAGGATAGTGAATGTGGTGATGATGGGAAATGGCGACTGCGATGCTGATGACGAGTGGCGATGATGATGCAGATGATGACGATCATAGTATTGATGATGATGATGATGCTGATGATTGTGCAGCTGATGGTGATGTTGCTAACGATGACTGTGATGATGCTAATGAGGGGGAGGAGGATGATGATGACAATGGTACGCCTGCTGCTGCGGATGATGATGATGCTGGTGTTGATGTTGGTGTCGATGATGATGATGCTGATGTTAATGATGATGATGATGCTGATGATGATGACGATGATGCTGATGATGCTGATGATGATGATGATGGTGTTGGTGATGATGTTGGTGATGCTGTCGATGGGACGGAGGTTGATTATGTTTAATCTGATTGCGATACTGATGCTCCTTCTGCTGATGATGCTGCTGATTAGGTTCAAGATTTTGGCAAGGAGACTGATGCTGATGATGCTGATTCTGATGATGCTGATGATAACGATGATGATGATAGGGATGCCGATGGCGACAACGACGACAGACGATGACGACGACGATTACGGTGACGATGCTGATGATGACGATGATGATGATGATGATGATGATGATGATGATGATGATGGTGATGATGATGATGATGATGATGATGATGATGATGATGATGATGATGATGATGATGCGTGTGATACCGCTGATGATGATAATGATCATGATGATGATGGTGGCGGTGGTGGTGGTGAGTGATGATGCTGATGATGATGATGATGATGGTGATGATGATGATGATGATGCTGATGATGATGATGCTGATGATGATGATGCTGATGATGGTGCTGATGATGGTGATGCGCTGCTTCTGCAACTGTTGCTGCTGCTGATGCTGATTTCGATGATGGTGATGATCATGCTGATGCTTCTGAGGATGATGAGGATGAGGATGAGGGTGTTGCTGCTGCTGATGACGCTGATTACTATTATTATTTTACATGTGCCGATGATGATGATGATGGCGCTGTTGACGATGATCATGATGATGGTGACGATGATGAGGAGGATGATGATGATGCTGACGATGGTGATGCTGGTGCTGATGTTGCTGATGCTGTTGCTGCTGCTGATGATGATTATGATGCTGGTGATGATGTTGATGCTGATGACGGTGCTGATGATGCTGCTGGTGATGGTAATGATGCTGATGCTGATGATGACGATGATGATGATGCTGCTGTTGATGATGATGATGCTGATGATCATTACTATCATTACTATTTTTATTAGTATCATTATTATTATTGTCATTATGATTATTATTGTCATTATTACTAACATGATGAAGAGGACGACGAGGATGATGTTGCTGATGATGATGCCGACTTTGCTGATGATGGTGGTGCTGCTGCTGCTGATGATGCTGATGCTGATGATGATGATGATGATGATGATGATGATGATGATGATGATGATGCTGATACTGATTATGATGATGCTGATGATGATGATGACGCTGATTATGATGATGATGGTGATGCTGATGCTGCTGCTGATGATGATGATGATGATGATGATGATGATGATGATGATGATGATTATGATGATGCTGACTGGTGACTGGTGATGAGGCTGACGATGCTGATGATGCTGATGATGCTGATTATGATGACCATTGTGACGATTGTGACGGTGCTGTCCTGACGTTGATTAAATAGTAGATGTTCAGGATGATGGCGTTGAAGGTGTTTGTACGGACGCTGTCTGGAGGCCCTTTGAGGGGGGGGAGAAAGGGGCCACGAGCAATGGAAGGCCCCAGGTCCTGAGGGGGGGGGGATCCTCATATGAGGAGGGAGCGGAGGAAGACGGAGCGGAGGAGGAGGAGGAGGAGGAGGAGGAGGAGGAGGAGGAGGAGGACGACGAGGTTCCATCGGTCGTCTGGAGGAGGAGGAGAGGAGGAGGAGGAGGAGGAGGAGGAGGAGGGGGGGCAGGGAGGCATTTGGGGGGAACAGGAGTCTCCCCCCCTCATTCTGATCCTCGTTTCGCTCACCGCCGATTTGGAGGAGTTGGGTGGGTTAGAGGAGGGATGGAGGTGGGGGAGGAGGACCGTCTCGGAGTCCGTGTGTGCCATGCTGGCAGCACCGCGGGCAGCCACAGCAGTGGATTCTCCTGTCCAGCTACCCTGTGGTCGGATCCATCTCCAAGGCAGCACTTTCTTCCTCCAACTCCTTCCTTCATCTCCTCATGTTTCACTCCATCTCGTCCACCTTCTTCTACCTCTACCTCCTCACCCCCACCACCTTCGTCCTCCAACTTCCTCCACCTTCACCTCCTCCCGCTCCTCCAAACGATACGCCTGCCTTCCTCCACCTCCTCGCCCCTCGCACTCATTCTCCTCACTCCTCGCACTCCTTGTCCTCACTCTTCATACTCCTCGCCCTGACTCCACTCTTCTGCACCTCAGCGCCCCCACTCCACACTCCTTGCGCTATTCGTCCTCTCTAGTAGTACTCTCTCTCTTTCTCTCCTCGTGCTCCTCGTCATGGGTCCTCGTGTGCATCATCATCATCATCATCATCATCATCATCATCATCATCATCATCATCATCATCATCATCATCAGCATCATCATCGTCATCATCATCATCATCGTCATCCTCATCATCATCACCGCCATCATCATCATCATCATCATCATCATCATCATCATCATCATCATCATTCTCATTATCATTCTCATCATCATCATGATCATGATAATGATAATGATAATATCATTCTCATTCTCATCATCATCACCGTCACCATCATCATCATCACCACCCTCATCATCATCAGCATCATCAGCATTACCATCAGCATCACCATCATCATCGTCGTCGTCACGATCATCATGATTACCCCTCGGTCTGACTGTCGTGGTCCTTCGTGCTCCCACTCGTGCTCCTCCTGACTCGTCGTACTGTTCGTCATGCCCCTTCGCACTCCTGGTCATCATACCTCGTTGTCATCATCACTCCTCGTACTCACTGAGGTAGTCACCTTGAGGTGGTCATCGTCAGGTCATCGCGGGGTCAGCTTGGGATCATCGTGGGATCTCGCAGTGATCATATCCGGGTCATCTTTAGGTCATGTGGGGGCCGCTGGTGTCGTGTAGGGGCCATCTTGGAGTCATGTAGTGGTCATAGTGGGATCGCAGAGGCATTTTTGGGCTGCCTTTCGTTCGTGTAGGGCGAACTCGAGGAGCATCTGAGGAAACCTTCTTGAAGCCCATGGGGACTTGAGAAACCATACGGGAACCAATGATATCCATAGAAACACAATTGGAGAGCTGAGGGAAGACCGAAGATATCCTGAGTCAGGGTTCTAAATGAGGATTCCGTATGCTGGGCTCCTTACTAAGAATTCTGGACTAGGATTCATTGGTTAAGTATTCCGATTGACGATTCCAGTGTATATACATGTATTTTTATGTGTAGAAGGATTGTTAAGGATCCCTGCTAAGGGTTCCTTGCCAAGGATCCCGTGGGATGGATTTTTTGTTTAGGATGTTTTGCTAAGGTTTTTCGCAAGGCTTAGCTTACCCATCGAGGGATTTCTAGTTGGATCCCTTATTAAGGATTCCTTACTGCAAACTCCTTACTAAGGATTCTATACCCAAGGATTACATATATCGTTTCCCTGCCACGGATTCCTCAGTAAGTGATGATCCCTTATCGAGAACCCCTCACCAACGAATCCTTCTTGAGGATTTAGGATTCCTCAGTCACTCTTTCAGTCATACTTCCTCATCAAGGATTCAGTACTCATGGACCCTCTGCAAGGTTTCTGTATGCAGGATGCCTTAGTAAGGATTAGATGTTTGCGCTGTGCGTTGTGAAATTATAAAAGTGGCCGTTTGGGCCATGTGGGGTTACCCGCACAGCTCCCTTGCCACTTCGCCTCGTCCTCCATTCTCCCTTTGCTCTCCTCCTCCTCCTCCTCCTCCTCCTCTTCCCTGAAGTTGGTGAAGTTCGCATGGCCGGCCACGGTCCGCGCTGCCGTTATTCGTGCTCGAGCTTGCTTTCGGTGGATGTGGTTATAGCCCCCTGTGAGGGGAGGCGTGTCGAAAGCTGAATGCCCCTGGACGGGCATCGTGCGCTTGTGCTCCGCGGTCGTGTCCACGGAAAAAGGATTCCTTATTCAGGACTTTTTCCCAATATTCTTTCGTGAGGATTCCTCCGTGCGGCTACCTGGGCCATGCTATTTACCCAGGCTACATTATGAGGGGTTCCTTAGTCAGAATTCACAACTAAGAGATCATTGTGAAGGATTCAGTATTCAGAGGCTTTGATCAAGTATCCCCACGAGTAATTCTAGACGCTTCGCGTAACCACACCAGCCCATCCAGAAACGATACCCAGAGGAATTGCCTCGATCAGGGAAGTGGGCAGCACACAGAGGAAGGGCCCCCCAGCGGAGGCCTCTTGGAGCGTCTTGGGGGCCCCATGGCGGTCCCGGACGCCTCTTAGAGCGTCTTGGGTGCCTCGCAGAGCTTCTTGGGGCCTCTTGGGTGTTTCTTGGGAGCCTCTTGGAGGTCTCTTGGGCGCCTGTTGGGGCCTCCTGGGGCCTCCTGGGCGCCTCGTGGGGCCCTGTTGAAGCGCTCTTGGGAGCCTTGGGAGCGCTCTTGGAGCCCTCTTGGGCCATCTTGGCTCCATCTTGAGGCCTCGGATGGTCATCGGAAGCGAAAAGGCGAGAAAGCCACAAACATTGATTTTTCGCAAGGTTATGGAAGGATTTTGGACTCTTCGGGGCCTCTTGGGGGAGCTCTTTGGCCACTTGGAGCCGTCTTGGAGCGGTCGTGGAAACCATCTTGAGGCATCTTGGGGTATCTTGAGCCATCTTGGAGGTCATCTTGGGCTCTCCCAGGCGCTCTTGGAGTCATCTTAATCAGTGCCCCCCCCCCCGGAGGCTAACATGTGGCCAAAACCTTAGTAGAATCAATGATTTTGGCATTCTCGCCGAGGCCTCCTGGAGCGTGATGGGTGCCTCTGGGGGCCTCTTGGGACCTCTTGGCTCTTGGGGGCATCCTGGGGGCCTTATGGGGGCCTCTTGGGGGCCTCTAGGGGCCACCTCTTGGGGCCCTTGGGAGCCTTGGGAGCGCTCGTGGGGCCATCTCGGAGGACATCGATCAAAGAAGGGGGCTCCCTTAGTTAGCGTCGCCGCCCCAAGAGGCCTGAATGAGGCCCAAACCCTAGTAAAACCAATGATTTTGCCTTCCTCGCCAAGGCCGTTTTGGACGCCATGACCGCTCGCGGGGCGCCACGTCCAGGTCCAGGGGAGAGGGTAGGGGGAGCGGTCAAGACCCCCTCCCCGCCCGCAAGCCGTCTCGCTCATTCCCACCCGCCCTCCCAACACATACGTAGCACCCGAGCCCGGCCCGAGCCGCAGCATATACAGCAGTCGTCTTTGGATGGGCAGCTACTGGAGGCGAATCCGCCGCCGCCGCCGCCGCCTCCGCCGCCGCCGTCGCCGCCTGCCGCCGCCGCCGCGCCGCCGCCGCGCCGCCGCTGTCCGCCGCCGCCGCCGCCGCGCCGCCCGCCGCCGCCGTCCGCCGCCGCCCGCCGCCGCGCCGCCCGGCGGCGGCGGCCGCCGCCGCCGCCGTTGCCCCCCTGCCGAATCGCCGCCGCCGCAGCCGCTGCCGCCGCTGCCGCTGTCGCCACCGCTGCTGCCGCCGCCGCCGCCGCCGCCGTCGCCGCCCCCGCCGCCGCAGCCACCGCCGCCGCCACCGCCGCAGCCGCCGCAGCCGCTGCCCCCGCCGCAGCCGCCGCAGCCGCCGCCGCCGCCGAGTGTACTCTGTATTGTTTTTTGACAGGGATGGTGGGGGGAGGCCGCATCGGGTTCGCTGCGCATGCTCCGAATTTGGAGAGCAAGTGTGTTTTCCATATTTTTTTACAAGGGATGGTGGGGGCGTGCCCGCATTGACCCTGGTTGGCTCCCAGTCGCCTGGGGGAGGGGGTGTACATTAATAGGGGACAGTGATACCCCCCCCGAAGGGGAAGGAAGGGGGTTGGAAGAGGAGCCGCCGTAAACCACCAACGCCCAGAGGGCTGGTGGGATTCATTATACGTGCTGCTAGAGAAGCCTTGATAAGGAACCCTTGCTTTAAACCAAAGGGTTCCATAGCAAGAGTTCCTTAGCAAAACTTCTCTAGCAAGGACTCTTCCCAAGGATTCCGTAATAAGGACTCATTACCAAGGACTCCCCAGTAAGGGTTCCATATGAAGGCGTCCTTACGTAGGTATCCGTTGTGAAGTGTCCTTTGTGAGGGTTTCTGGACAATGATTCGTATGTAAGGATTTCTTTGCATGGCTTTGTGTTACGGAGGATTCACTATTAAGGGTTATTTTGGAGAAAGGTCCCCTTATCAAGTACTCCTTACTCTGGATTCTCTGCAAGGGTTCCTTACGAAAGATTCCTCCTTAGGGGTTCCAGATTCAAGATTCCTTCAAATGATTCCTTAGTAAGGATCCCTCAGTCCGGATTTCGTATCACGGGCCCCTTACTCAGGATTTCTCCAGACACGCTTAGTACGGATTTTTCTTTCAGGATTCCTTATCCAGGGTTCTTTTTGCCGCCCCTTCTAAATAGGGCTCTTGAAGGGTTCTTTCTTAAGGATTCCTTTCGTCAGGGTTCCTTCCTCAGGAGTCCTGATGAAGCTTTCTTTAGTGATGCAGCTTTCTTAAGGATGCCCTATTCAGGGTCCCTCACTGAAGACTCTGTAGGCAGGGTTCCGTATGGGTCCCGCAGCAGGGGCCTGTACCCCCCCTGTAAGGTCTGGATCATTGGATGGGGCTCCCTTCTGGCTTCGTTACCATGATGCTGCTGATGCTGATCATGATGCTGCTGATGGCGATTATGATGATGTTGACGATGCCGATGACCACGCATACGGGATGATGAGGATGATGATGGTGACAACGGCGATGCTGCTGCTGGTAGTGATGATGATGACGCTGTTGATGATGGTTTGCCATGATGATGTGGGTGATGGTGAGGGTGATGGTGACGATGCTGATGACGATGATGATGCTGCTGATGATGCTGATCATGATGATGGCAATGATGTTGATGTTGGTGTCAGTTGTGGTGTTGATGGTAATGATGATGCTGATGATGATGATGATGACGATGCTGAGGATTAGGATGATGATGATGATGCTGATGATGATGATGATGCTGATGCTGATGCTGACGACGATGATGATGATGATGATGACGACGATGCTGATGTGATGATGGTGCTGATGATGCTGACGATGACGATGATGATGTTTCGGCTGCTGCTGTTGATGATGCTGCTTATGATGGTGATGGTGATGATGCTAATGAGGATGATGCTGATGTCGGGGACGGTGACGCCCAATGCAGTTGAGACGGACCAGAGCTCCAGTTCGACAGCCGCCCGAACCCGAACGCCCTCCCTGGGCGCCTCGCGCGCAATGTCAGGCAGGGTCCAATAGCACAGCGAGGGCCTGCATTGCAACATCTTATTGCGCTTGTCACATCGGCTGCAGCCAACCGCCGCAGCAGCACAGTTCAGAAACGTGCTAGCCGCAGGGAGGACACCACGAAGGCCAGACGACGGTCCGTTGCACTTCCACGCCGCTTGGCGCGTGAGGTGGCCGTACCACCAGCCCAGCAGCAGGGGCCTGCGGGCAGGCGCGTGCGCGTGTAGCTTCATTGGTAAAAGAGAAGAGGCCAGGGGTGGCAACACCGTCGCGGCATCAAGGGCCGAGGACGACAGTCTTTGCTCCCCCTTGCCGCTCGGAGGCCGAACCTAGGCGTTGGCGGGCTGCCTATGCCCATGGGCCATGGGTTCGCCTCTACATGAATACAGCAGCGGGCTGGGCAGCAGATGCCTACCAGCGTGACAAGCGAGCGGCGGAAGGGCCACCCCTCATCAACTAGCATGCCGCGGCAGACAGGACAGCACCCTCATGACGACACGGTCAAGGCCGAAGGTCTTTGCATCCCCGTGCCGCTCGGAGGTGGAGCCAGGGTGTCAGCTGGTGCTTACGTCCTCGGGTCTGCCTCCAAAAAGAAGGAGAGCGAGCGGTGTGCGTATCAGCATTACTTGCTGCGATGGGCGAGCGAGACTAGCTCCCTCAGCGTGATGCCGATCGCGAACGAGCTTTGCGCGTCCACGGGCTGATGCGTGCCGATGCTACGTGCAAAAGTCGAAGTCTGCGACGAATCCGGCCATCGTGGGAAATCGGTAAAACGAGCAGTGTATCGCTTGGGGGTCGTAGAGGCCGAATCAGCACCATACATTTCAGGCACCCCGTCCTCATCAGTGTCCTGCGTTTTTTCTGTCCGCAGCCATTTGGGATCAAGCGCCCCACGATCTGCAGCAACCCTGCTACCTCGCGCGAACTCGAAGCACCTCTCGCCACGATCTTGGCGGCGCTTGCGCGGTGCCCCCGCGACGTGGAGGCGCAGGTGGCGCCGCAGCTGCGGCCACCTCCAGGCTCGACGGTGTCGCCCTCAGGCGCGGGCAGAGCGAGCGCCTCGGACCCCGGCTCGGTGGGCTCTGCCAGACGAGGGACGCGGAGGCAGCCAGGTTGCCCCCGTGCAGTGGTTGTATTGCGGCTTCGCCCTCCTGGTGGAGCTGCTGCCGACCTGGCTGTCCCAGGAGTATCGGACCTGCGCTCCCGCCAGCGACGTGCGAGTCTATAACCACTGCGCACCCGATGCTGGTGTCCCTGTGCCGTCGGGCGCCCGCCGACGACCGCGCGGCCCGCGACCGCTGCCGCAGTGCCGGCGGGCGCCCGGGCCGGCGGCGGCGGGGGGCACCGGCAGGGCGAGGGCTTGCTTCTTGGAAGGCGTGGAGGCTCTCTGCACGGAGCTGGTGCTGATTCACCACATCACCATCGGCTTCCATTTGGACGGCGTTTTTTTTTTGTTTTTCTTTGTTTGGCTGTTTTTTTGGTTTTGCGTTTCGGCTCGGCCATAACGGCACATGCGCGCTGGGTTCGGTGGGGTTATGACCACTCTGCTCGTGTCACCGGACCAGTCTTTCTTCATGTGTTTGCTGTTCTTTGGGGGAGGCGTGTTCACGCCTTCGTCCCTGGAGCGCAAGGGCGTCGCGGAGTTTGTCAGTGACAAGTTGCGGCGACTCGGTTGGCCTCTGGCTGTGAGCTAGTTCGTCGTCTCTCCCATGTCGATGGCCTTCAGGAGAGCGATGGGCTGATCGGCGGGGACGACTTGCGGTCGCACGTGTGGTTCAGCGATGGTGTGCAATGGCTCCTCAGAGCTCTCTCATCATCCTCAGCATCCCGTGCGCCATCCTCCCGTCCCCGCAGGCGTCCGTACTCATGCCCTCCACCGGCCAGGTCCTGCTTGCCTGCGTCCTGCCCGGAGCCGTCCAGGGGTGGTTGCTTTACTTCTTCGCGGTTCACTGCAAGCCGCTGGTCGAGTCTGGCTGGCCAGAGCCAGTTCGCTGTCTACGTCCTCCAGGTGGTTGTTATTCGAGGCGTCATGCTGACGCTGCCGCCGATCCTGAGGGCGGCGGGTTATCCAGTCGAGTTCGAGGACCCTGCTTGGTTTCTCTCCTCCACCGACCTTCCACAGTTGGTCATCGTCGGTGGCTGGCTGTGCACGATCGTGCTGGTCACGCTGATCGCATGGTCCCTGGGGTACTTCTCCCGGAAGCTGCCGCTCGTGAGGGATGTGCTGTGATGAGTGTTCCGACCGCCAGGGCTGCGGCGGGATTCCGATAGCGGCTGGGCCCGCCCACTCGACTTCGAGCACGTTTGGCTCCAGTTCCCAGCAGCCCTTGGCCGGCCGCCAGGTACCGCGGGGCGCTCAGCGCCCCGCGTCCCGGCCGGAGCTCCGTTCTACTTGCCCGCAGTGCCGCACACGTGCTCCCTGTGAGCGTGACTGAGATCCACCAGCGCGCTCCCTGTGCGAGTGGAGCTCCCGCCAGCCCTGCGATTCTTGCCCTCCCGTCGTCCGCAATTTCGGTTGCCACCGTTGCCGCTGATCCGCGGCGACGTCGGCAATTATTGCTTCTCTCGAACAAGCAATTCTACCCCCCCTCGCCTCTCAGCCCGAGGACACGTCTCTTGGAGCCCTCTTGGGACGCTCTTGGGGCGCTCTTGGGCGCTCCTGGGGCTGTCGGGGCCCCTCTGGGGGCTGTCTTGGGTGATCCTGGAGCCCGTGTTGAGGCCTCGGAAGCCCATCGGAAGCGAAAAGGCGATGAAGCACAATTCATCGCACAACTTCAGGTTTTTGAATGAGGTTGGCCTCTCGGGGTCATGCATCCTCAGGAGGCTTTGTGGCCGCTTGATCCGTCTTTGGGCGGTCTTGAGGCCTCTTGAAGGCATGCTGGAGGATATTCGGCTATGTGGCGCCATTCTGGAGCCACTGTGGGCCATCTTGGACGCTTTGGCCGCTCACGAAGCCTGGGTCCTGACACCATGGGGAGTGGGGGGGGGTCTTCCGCTCCCCGACTGGGAGCAATCCGGCTGGAAGAGCTAACGCCCTCAAGCCTTTACGGACAGATGGCCGTTGGGACTTCCGGTGTGTGAACAATGTGCTGCCGTGCCGGAGAGGGTGGCCTCTCGACCTTCTTTCCTGCGGGAACTCGCCGGGCAGCCCACGAACAGTGGGAGCCGGCAGATCACGGCCACGAGCCCCGCGGGAGCTCGCAGGCAGCTCGTCGGTACCGCGCGTCACCTAACAGCTTCCTCAGCGACTGACCAGTGGATTCCAAGCAGCTCGCACGCAGTTGCACCGCACACTGTGGATTCATTTGCAGCTTGATTGCGCCAGGAACAATTCTAAATCCAAGATGGGGCCCAGACGAGCAAACGACCTCACGAATGAGCATATCCGAACGGCCTTCGGCAATCCCGCCACTTCGGGGCCCTCCTGGGTCGTCAGGATCCTCTTTGGGGGCATTATTGGGGCTCTTTTGGGGTGCCGTGTGGTCCTCCTGGGCCGTCCTGGAGCTCTCTTGGCGTCCTCTTCGGCGCCTGTTAAGCCATCGTGGGACGATGTGCGAAGCGTCCTGGGCCGTCATGGCCGCTTTGACGACCACCAGACAGGCGAGCGCTGAAAGTCAGATTCGGTTTCGGGCAGGCGTCGCCCGAAGCTGCCCTTTCGGGGACCCACCTGCTGGCTGGACCGACGAACCGACTGGCTGCCTGCTTGACAGACTGCCTGGCTGACAGGGCGCAGCCGTCAGCAGGCATGTCTGCTGTCGGTCGCCGAGGGCGCAGCCCGTGGCGCCGCGGGCCCTGGCACGTCCGGCAGCCGAGCGTGCAGCCTGCAGCGCATCGACCCACAGGTCGTCGGAGGCCCATCCAGGCCCGTTCCTCCTCACTCCTCCGCCCTCCTCCGCCCTCCTCCCACACCTCCACCTTCCGTCCCCACTCCTGGCCGTTCCTCGGGCCTCTTTTCCGCACGGCTCCCACTCCTCCCCGCTCCTCCACACCCTCCATCCCACTCCCCCGCACTCCTCCGCACTCCTCCGCGCTCCTCCCCGTGGCATTCCCGCTCCTTCCCAGATCACTCCACTTCTCCGCACTCCTCAATACTCCTTCGCAAGCCTCGCTCCTCCCCTGATCCCTCCTCCCGTCCACTCGTTCTTGTATGTTTCGCACCGCATGCAAGTCAAGTAGAGCCACATGCCAGGTGACACACCCACAAACCTCGGAATACATCAGCGAACGCTCATGCCACATTCATCTGTCAATGCCCCCCCATGATCAATGTTGGCGGTGGGTTGAACGAGTTGCACTTCGACTGCAGTCGTCCCCTCGCGTGTCAACTTCGAGTTTGGGGCAGAGTGGGAGTGTCCACTGACTGTTTCCCTCTACCATGACCGATCCCGCCTGCGCCAAACCCTTCTTCAGGCGCCCCAGGACCGCCTGCTGCCTCTGGCTGGGTGCCGTGCATGCCCCTGCCAGTTCTGCGCGCCGTACGCTCTGTGTCCACGTTCCGTGAAGGCCGTCCACTCGGGGGAAAGCTGAGGCGGCGGCTGTGGCGGTGCCTCCTCGACGCTGCCGGTGGCTCCGCTGCTGCTGGCGCCGCCGCCGCCGTCGCCGCGCTCCTCCTCCTCGGTGCCCTTGTGGTCGCCGTTGCCTTCCGCCCGGCTGGTGGTGAGGGCGGTGCCCGCCGCCAGCACCTCCGTGGCCGCGCAGAGGGAGGCCCCCTCCCCGCTTGGGCGTCTGGGCGGTGGGCCGCGCGACTTGTCCACACACGCGGACTGGCTGCCCATCCTTTCCCAACAGAATCGAGGGATCCTGCCCTCCAGTCGGCGGCGGGCGAGGGGGGGAAGGGAGAAGGAGCAGGCGGCGGGACTCCTTAGCGCCTTCCGAGAGGTTGTCTGTGTCTTCAGGGAAGGCTCAGAACACTTCTCAGAAGGCCAGGGGCTTCCGAGCCTTCTCAGCAGGCCGGCCCCTTCTCACTTCCCCCCTCGCTCGCCGCCGAATCGAGCGACCCTGTCCTCCAGACCTGAAGCCCCCTGCTGACTGCCCACCAGGGCGATGCCGTCCGTGTTTCAGGGCGCGCAAGCGGTTCGCAGAGAGGGGGTCGAAGAGGCACAGCGCGACGCCATGTCTGGCGGCCCGAACACCAGTACCTGCTCTGGCTTGGTTCTCTGGCGAGTGCTGCAACATGTTGCAGAGGTGGCGCGGCGGACCCCGCACATTTGATAAGATGACAACCTTGGATCCTCCTCCTTCTCCTCCTCCTCCTTCCCCCTTTCCTCCTCCCCCCTTTCCTCCTCCTCGTCGTCCTTCTCCTCCTCCTTCTCCTCCTCCTTCTCCTCCTCCTCCTCCTCCTCCTCCTCTTCCGCCTCTCCTCCTTCTCCCCCCCCCTCCTCCCTATACCCTAGCTGTTGAAAGTATGTAAAGCACGCTTAATACCACCCCAGGAGTCGACAAAAAGGTCGTTCTCTGACAAGTCGGCAGGTGGTCCAGGCTCGTGTCCGGCGCGATGGCGTGGCTCCCAGGTGCCGCCCCGCTGCTCCCCCCGGGACACTCGTTGGACCTCCGTCCCCCCCCCCTCCTGATGCGGTGTGGCTCCTCTTCCCTCGAGGAGGAGGAGGAGGAAGGAGGAGGAGGAGGAGGAGGAGGAGGGGAGGAGGAGGATAGGCAATGTCTTGCCCATGAGGAGGAGGGAGGAAGGAGGGAGGAGGAAGGGGGGAGGAAGGGAGGAGGGAGGAGGGAGGAGGAGGAGGGAGGAGGAGGAGGAGGGAGGAGGAGGGAGGAGGGAGGAGAAAGTAGGGGAGGGCAAGGAAGGGAGGAGGAGGAGGAGGAGGAGGAGGAGGAGGAGGGAGGAGGAGGAGGAGGAGGAGGAGGAGGGGAGGAGGAGGAGGGGAGGAGGGAGAGGAGGGGGAGGAGGAGGGGCCATGACGTGGGCCCCGGACGTCTCGACGTCGTCCTCCCGGGGCCCGCTCCTCGCCCCGCGAGTCGCCTTGTGGACGGCCCCAGGGGCCCCGCGAGGGCTCCCGGAGGCCGAGCAAGGGGCCACGAGACCCGCCCGCCGTCTCTTTCACGACGCGGGCATGCCTGGTCCTCCTCCTCCTCCCTCCTCCTCTCCTCCTTCTCCTCCCCCTCCGCCTCTTCCTTCTTGCTCCTCCTCCTCCTCCTCCTCCTCCTCCTCCTCCTCCTCCTCCTTCCTCTTCTTGTGGAGAGCGCGGGAGCGAGAGCTCGCAGCGTCAGGGTGCGGCGGTAAGCAAGCCCGCTGCACAGACGCCCCCTCCCGCCCCCCTGCGCCCGCGGCAAGCGAGGCAGTCTTCGTCCGCCGCTGCAAGCCGTCATCGTTTTCTGATTGTCTTGCCCATCGGCCGCGCGGGCCCTCGCCCCCCCCCCCCCCCTCCCATGGAGCAGATCCTGGCTGTGTTTGGCGCCTGTTTCGAGCAGGTGGAGTCCCCCTCCCCCATCGGACGCACGGTTGCAAGCCGTCGCACCAAGCAGCGGTCCGGAGCCAGACCCCGCCCCCCTCCCCCCCCCTTTCGCTCAATGCCGAAACGCCGAATCTGAACACGTTCGCAAAGTATGTATTCTTGGTTTGCCAAATTCCAATCTACTCAGGCGCCCCTCTACTTCAATAATCGATCTGCTCTGACTGTGTTGTGTTTTGTTCTCAGGGAGGGCCTGAGCCCGATCTACATGATCCGCCTTCCTGCTTGGCGCTTTTACCTGCTTCTGCCGACCGATGTGTATGGGATGGGAGGACAAACAAATCAGAGCGAGAGAGGCACGAGCACCTCCTCCCCCTGTCAATCTCAGTCCAATATGTCTCTGGCACGTGGGGGAGGGCGAGGAGCAGCTGCCAGCCGGGCGCGGAAGAGCGAGGATGCGCAAAATGGTGACGGAGTGGGAGAGGTGTCCTCCTCTCCTCCTCCTCCTCCTCCTCCTCCTCCTCCTCCTCCTCCTCCTCCTCCCCCTCCTCCTCGTCGTCGTCGTCCTCCTCCTCCTCCTCCTGCCGCTCCTCCTCCTCCTCCTCCTCCCTCCTCCTCCTCCTCCTCCTCCTCCTCCTCCCCCTCTTCCTCCTCCTCCTGCTCCTCCTCCTCCTTCTCATCCTCCTCCTGCTCCTCCTCCTCCGTCTCCGCTATTTCCGCTATTTGCCGCGCCATGAAGGGTTTGATCCCTGAAGCGCAACGCGGCGGCAGCTGCCGCCGACCGAGGCGCCTCCGCGCCCGAGCCTAGCCGCGCACGCGGCCGACGCGCGGGCGCCTTCGGCGCCGGGGGGGGGGGGGGAGGGGGCCCCGCCCAGGGGAGAGGAAGGGGCCCCCAGGATCTCTCGGGGCTAAGTGGAAGAGGAGGCGGCTGAGGGTAAGGGGGGTGACACCAAATTATGTCCCTCGGGACCCCGACGACTCAGCCTCCTCACTGGGCCACGTCGGTGGTCGATGGTGTTGTAGTAGAGCATGATTCTGTCGCCCTCGAGCTTGTGGTACTCGACTCAGTCCTGCTGGTCGAAATCGGTATGATGAGCCTTCTCCATTTGCTCCATTCACTCCATTCAACTCGGCATCGCTGATCCAGTGGTCGTCTGTCTCGATGATGGTAGGCTCTTTGTACTTGGCTCGGTCGCCTTGGTCGAGTAGAACTGTTTGACTGTGTTGGGCTCAGGCTCTGGTACTCGTCTCAGCCGATGAGGTAATTGTCGTGCTGGTTAGGGTCGATGGGGGCCGGCTTGTTGCTGGTAGGTGGAATAGATTGTGGGCGCACTCAGGCCTCCATGCACCGACTTCAAGTAGGGTTCATGGCGGCCCTACCTCGTCCCGCTATGGCTAGGGGTCACAGTGCCCTCGGTGGGGGCGAACCCCAGGCCAAGTGATTCTTGCTGTCGATGAGGAAGGTCAACGCTGCCCTATGCTTCGCCCTTGGGCGCTCGGGAGCTCCGTCTCCGCCATGGGAATGGTGGGGGTGGCGAGCTAGGGCGGACCGCGGGGGCGCGGGCAGTACTCGTCCTGCCCCCCCCCTGCCCCTCACCATCCCCCCTGGTAGGCGCGGGCAGTCCTCGTCCTGCCCCCCCGCCCTTCGAGCCCGTCTCGAAGTTTGATCCTTGCCTCACCAGGGCAGCGTTGACTCGTACTTGGTGCAGTTGGGGTAATCTGGCTGGTACCTCTGAGCCCTGACTGAACGGCGGCCGTGTCCGTCAAAGTGCAAAACGTGGCGACGTGTGCCTGGGGTGTTCCCTCGCATTCGGGGCTTCCCCAGGACTTGCGTCCTGATGACTTGTGCAAAACTTGGCGACGTAGCCTGAGGTGTTCCCACGCACTCGGGGCTTCCTCAGGACTTGCGTTCTGATTCTTTTGTACTTGTCGTCAGGGCGCTTCGTCGCGATCCGCGTTGTCAGCCTGTGCCCGAACAGCTCCTGTCGAGGTGGTGGTCCTGCCGATTGCCTTGTCGGGTCGGTCCTGCAGGGCCCACTCCCTTGCCTCTTCCAACCAGGTCGGTGAGCCACTCCGCCTCGCTGGGCCCCGATGGTAGTCCTGACCCATCTCCCTGGTCTTGTAGCGGTCGAGCGGCTGGAAGAAGTGGGCCACGTCGTCGTCGATGTGCCACCCCTGGACGTCGCTAGGCGACTCGCCAAAGCGCCACCTTATCTGCTTCGCCAGTGCGGTCGCGATGGCCTGGCACATCCTGTTCGGGCACTCCTTGGCCGCCGCGGTGCGCCACTGGCCGTCGTCGTTGATGCCTGCCAGCTCCGCGTGGTAGGAGGCCGTGTGAAAGCACCTCCCGCTTCCAGGCAGTCTACTGATTTCTGCTCGGAGGGTTGGTAGGGATACCGCCATCAGGCTTGTGGACTTCCTCGAACGCGCTCCACAGGTGCACTGGTCGAATGTGATCAGCTCGACTCCCTGCTGGTTCAGGAGGTGGCGCGTCTCGGGGAGCTTCCAGGAGCTGGCGAAGTGCCCCTCGGTGGGCTCGGACGGGTGCTCGAGCATGCCTGGGACTCCCAGGTTGAGGCACATGTACATGAGCTCCAGCTGTGTCCTGTATAGGCGGTTGCCTGTCGCTACTTGCTCCATCTCTGGACGGGAAAAGGTAGCGAAGGCCCCACAGGCTGTTGCTGCTCCTTAGGGGTCTTGGTGGGCGACCCCTGCAGTCATTGGGGGGCAAGTGGCGCGCTCGGCTCCAGGTCTCGCACGGCGGTCCGCCGATGACTCCTGCAATTCCCCCTGCTTGTGCCATGTCTCGCCACTTGCTGACTGCGACTTCTGATGTCAGGTCGCCGAAGGTCGGGTCGTTGGCGATGTCCAGGCTGAGCATGTGTATGTCGCAAGCAGCCCGACTGCCGAGGCGGTCGAACCAATCCTGAACATCTCCCTCTCGGCGACGGCCGCTGAATAGATGCAGCACATATAGCGTCCGAGCTGGTCTGGGCCTAGGTGCAGCAGCTGGCGGCGGTGGTGGCTCCTCGATGAAGGGGAGCTCTAGGCTCTCGTAGTGGCCGCCGTTGCTGTCGTCGCTGTCCTCGTCCGTATGTATTTCTGGAGGACGAGCAGGGACTGCAGGCTTCTCTGCCCAGTCGATGGGCCTGCCCGCCCTTCGGTTCGCCTGCTGCTGGTCGCGCACGATTTGCTGGTTGTGCTGCAGCTCGGCTCTACTTAGGATTGCTGGACGCGTCTTTCGCCAATGTCGAGCGCACCTGCGCACTCTCAGCAAGTGTTTGACCAGCCTGTTTGTAGTGTGGTAATCCATGCCGCATCCGTAGCAGACCGACCCAGTTGCCCACGAGATAGGATGACCCGACGAGGTGTGGTCCTTGGTGATGTGTGCTCGTAGCACTGCTGCACTGGCTTCGGTACGTCCGCAGTGGTAGCATAGGTACTTGCGCTGCTGCTCGAAGTGCTGGTCTGGGAAGGGCGAGATGGCTTCCGCGTTGGTCCACCGTTGGAGTCGAAGCCGCCATCGAGCTTGGTAGTCGTGATCGTACTGGCGAGCTTTGCCACGTTGGCAAGCTTTCTTTACTGCGCTGAGGTAGCTTTGGTAGTCGTTCCTGGCCCAGTCCTTCAGTCCTCGAGCGTGTATGCTCCACCACGCTCGTCAGGTCCTGTGTGGTCGCGGACCCAGTCTAGGTCGCGGCGGAGCAGTGCCACCCAGCCGTAACTACCATCCCAGGCTTGGCTAAGTAGCCGGCGGAGGTGCAGGGGTCCCCAGTTGAGGCACCTGCCAAATAGTCGTAGCCGCTCGAGTCGCAGGACTATCTCTGGGGGCAGCTTGTCGACCCCTTCGAGAATCTGGGTGTTCGTGACCTCCTTTTTCTGTCGTACTTTCCAAGTGATCCTTTGCGCGGCAGCGTAGTTGACGATATACTGGTTATTGAAATTCCTGGCCTGGCCTGCTCTGAGTTCGGGCCAGGTAGACGATTTGTATAGTAGCTGGGATAGCACCACACTGTCGGCTAAGTAGGCCTTGTCTTTG